GAATCTGGGAGACCAAAACAGAGAATCAATAATAAAAAAAAGTAAAATAAAAATATGAATATCAAAGAGGGAATACTTTCCCAAAGAATCTTTTTTTTAATTAATTTATTTTTTGAAACAGAGTCTCACTTTGTGCCCAGGCTAGAGTGAGTGCGTGGGTCAGCTAGCTCACAGCAACCTCAATCTCCTGGCTCAAGCCATCCTGCTGCCTCAGTCCCGAGTAGCTGGGACTACTAGGACATGCGCCACAATGCCGGTTTGATTTTTTTTTTTCTAGTATACTTAGTTGGCCTTTTTGAGACAGAGTCTCACTCTGTTGCCCGGGCTAGTGCAGCCTAGCTCACAGCAACCTCAAACTCCTGGGCTCAAGCTATCCTTCTGCCTTAGCCTCCTAAGAAGCTGGGACTACAGGCATGTGCCACCATGCCCAGCTAATTTTTTCTGTATATTTTTAGTTGGCCAATTAATTTCTTTCTATTTTCAGTAGAGACGGGGTCTTGATCTTGCTCAGGCCGGTCTCTAACTCCTGACCTTGAGCGATTCTCCTGCCTCAGCCTCCCAGAGTGCTAGGAATACAGGCATGAGCCACTTCACCTGGCCTCACATTTTCTTTTTTTATATCCTTATTCTATAAGTTTTTTCTATTTTTAAATTTTTTTACTTTAAAAGATTTTTGTTTAAAAACTGAGACACAAACCCATACATTAGCCTAGGTCTACACAGGGTCAGGATCATCAATATCACTGTTTTCCACCTCTATATCCTGTCTTCTTTCCACTTCTATCTCTTGTCCCACTGAGAGGTCTTCAGGAGCAGCAGTAACATGCATGGAGCTGTCATCTCCTATGATAACAGTACCTTCTTCTGGAATACTTCCTGAAGGACCTGCCTGATGCTGTTTTACAGTTAACTTTTTTTTTTATAATAAGTTCGAAAGGAGTACAGTCTAAAATAATGATAAAAAGTATAGTATAGTAAATACATAAACTAGCAATATCATTGTTTATTGTGATCAAGTATTATGCACTATACATAATTGTATTGCTATATTTTCATATGACTGGCAGCTCGGTAGGTTCATTTACACCAGCATTACCACAAAGCATGTGTGTTTTGCTGTGATGTTAAGACGGTTGTAATGAAGTCACTAAGTGATAGGAGTTTTTTAGCTCCATTATAATCTTATGGGACCACCATCATATGTGAGTCCATTGTTAACTGAAACATTGTTATGCAGTGTGTGACTGTAATCCCAAATAGGTTTATACTATAAAGTGCTTTAAGCCAAGAGAGAACTAGAATATGAGTGTGATCTAGTAAAATGCACTATATTATAATTATACAAATTTGGATAGAGTATTATGAGTTGAATATAAATGTAAACACTAAAAGCATGATTAGAGCATGAAGATATAAAATATGCCATGAAGGAATGGATCAGTGTTTCAGCCAGGCTAGTCTTTTGTCTCTAACAGAAGTACCTAGAAAATGTAACCGGTGGTAAGATGATGTCTAGTCCTAAAAAAAAAAAAAAAAAAAGAAAATGTAACCGAATCTAGTTGGTTGCCTGTCCTAGTATCACTTGTGAAAGATTAGAGAAGTTTTGTCCTAAATCCTGGATTTCCTTGACTGTAATGTATCTAGTACCTGTATTCATTCATTTACATTTTTAAAAATGTAAGGATAATTTTTGGCTAAATCTTTATTGTGGTAATAATTTTCATTTTTACTACCTAATGTGGTAATTAATGTTTCCTTTTATTGTCCAAGTTTACAAGCTCCTGCAAACATTTTACAATTCTCATATTCTACAGTTTTGTGAATAATATATGCTCAGCTTATTTATACCCTTTGAGATTTGATAAATTTTTATTATTTCTTCTTCATCATTTTGAAGTAGAACCTAGATTTTATTAGTCTTGTCTCATTACACAGTTTACTTCAGAGACAGACATTAATGGTGTTCTGAAACATCTGTATGATAAAAACATTCTATTATAATATGAAGTACCTTATTTTCAGAGCCTTTAACAGGCTTATTTGGCCTCTCTTTATTCCTGAAAGTTAGGTGGGACAGTTATATATTTTCTCATTCTATGGCAAAGGAAAGGGAATTTCTGGGTTTTTTTGTTTCTGTTTTTTGAGTTTTTTAGAGACAGGATCTTGCTCAGGCTGAAGTGCAGGAATGCAGTGGCAATCATAGTTCACTGTAACCTCAAACTCCTGGACTCAAGTGATCCTCTCACCTCAGCCTCCCGAGTAGCTGGGACTACAGGAATTAGCCACTGTGCCTGGCTAATTTAAAAAAATTTTTTGTAGAGACAGGGTCTTGCTACATTGCCTAGTCTTTTTTTTTTTTTTTTTTTTTTTTGAGACAGAGTCTCACTCTGTATACAGGCTAGAGTGAGTGCCGTGGCATCATCCTAGCTCACAGCAACCTCAAACTCCTGAGCTCAAGCAATCCTCCTGCCTCAGCCTCCCGAGTAGCTGGGACTACAGGCATGCGCCACCATGCCCGGCTAATTTTTTCTATATATTTTTAGTTGGCCAATTAATTTCTTTCTATTTATAGTAGAGACGGGTCTCACTCTTGCTCAGGCTGGTTTCAAACTCTTGACCTCGAGCAATCCACCCGCCTCGGCCTCCCAGAGTGCTAGGATTACAGGCGTGAGCCACCAGGCCCGGCCCATTGCCTAGTCTTGAACTCATGGCCTCAAGCGATCCTCCTGCCTGGGCCTCCTGAAGTGCTGAGATTACAGATGTGAGACACTGTGCCTGGCCTCATTTTTTAATTTTTTAAGTTTAATTCTCCTATTGAGTTCATTACTGTTAAAGTTTGGAGTTATTTTTTCCAGAGTGGCCAAGATCTTCCTCATTCTTTAGTGTCTAAATGTATAATCCTTCTTACCTTTTCCTCATGTCTCCCTGCAGCCATATGTGTCATTGGCTCAGCAGATGGCACCACCTAGTTCAAGCAGCAGTACCCCTAATAGCAGCAATGGAAGCAGTGGAAATGACCAGCTGAGCAAAACCAACCTATATATCCGAGGATTGCAACCAGGCACTACTGACCAGGACCTTGTCAAACTGTGTCAACCGTAAGTTGGGATACATGTAGGCAGGCTTCCAGGAACAGTACAGATTTGGTGATAACTGGCTTGTTTCCAGGTATTCTTATCCTAAAATGCAATAGTATTTTGCTCCCACCCTGTTGTCACAAGGTTCTTCAGCAGCTCCTCTTAAAAAAAGAATTCTAGGCCTGGCGAGGTGGCTCACACCTCTAATCCCAGCACTATGGGAGGCCGAGGCGGGCGGATTGCTTGAGGTCAGGAGTTCGAAACCAGCCTGAGCAAGAGCGAGACCCCATCTCTACTATAAATAGAAAGAAATTAATTGGCCAATGAATACATATATAGAAAAAATTAGCTGGGCATGGTGGCGCATGCCTGTAGTCCCAGCTACTTGGGAGGCTGAGGCAGGAGGCTCGCTTGAGCCCAGGAGTTTGAGGTTGCTGTGAGCGAGGCTGACGCCACGGTACTCACTCTAGCCTGCTACTAATATATAAAACCTTTATGTGTTTCTCTGAGGAAATCAGGCATGAGGCTTGCCTTTGAACCTGATATCCAACTATTTTTAGCACCTCCCCCAAACTGATAGTCTTAGTGGAAAGATTGCTATCCTTACATCTTTTTTTTTTTTTTTTTCCCTGAGACAGGGTCTCTTTCTGTTGCCCGGGCTAGAGTGCAGTAGTGTGATCATAGCTTACTGCAGCATCAGACTCCTGGTCTCAAGTAATCCTCCTTCTACCTCCTACTACCACCACACCTGGCTAATTAAAACATTTTTTTTTTTGTAGGTGGGGGTCTCGCTATGGTGCCTATACTGTTCTCAAACTCCTGACCTCGAGCAATCCTCCTGCCTTAGCCTCCCAAAGTGATGGGATTACAGGTGTGAACCACTGCTCCTGGCCTATCCTTACGCCTTGAATAGAAATGTTCAATATCTCTATCTATAGATATTAATTAGAAAGCAATTAGAGCTGGCAATGAGGAAAGAAGAGATTGGGACTAGCCAATCAAATTAAACACTCCGAAGAGTTTCTGCTGCTGGAGATAATCCTTGTGAATAGAGGAGCCCTCAAATTTGTGGATAAAGAAGAAGGTAGAGAGAGAAGCTGTCAACTCTGCATCTGTTCCATGAAGACCTTCTGGAGTTCTTAGTAGATTTGAGTTAGGAGATGATTGCCACAAAATTAGGCCAGTTAGGAATGTTAGAAAATGACATGAGTGTACCGATGCCCAGCTCAAGTTTATTTGGCAGAAAAGCATGTATTTCAGATAATACAACTTGGGGAATAATTAGAAGTCTGGCAGTAGGACGGGGAGATTAATAGGAAGAGGGAAAGAATTGAATTTGAATAAGTGAATGATTGAAAGAGATAGAAATAGGTGCTTTGTATATTTACCATCTTTTAAAAACTTTTTATTGACATGTAATAAGCACACAAAAAAGTATAAATCATAAGTGTATATATGACAGTGAATTTTCACAAAAGTAACACTCCCTTGTGTAAATTCCCTTGTACCCAGATCAAGAAATAGAACATTACTGATTCTTCGGAAGTCTACCTACCAGTTATTCCCCCTCCCCACAAAAGTAGCTGCTGTTTGACTTCTAAATAATAGGGCCAGGTATGCCTTCTCACATCTGTAATCCCAACACTTTGGGAAGCTGAGGTGAGAGGATCACTTGAGGCCAAGAATTTGAGACCAGCCTGACCAACATAGTGAGACAACCCCCCCCCCAAAATTTAAAAATTAGCCATATCTGATGGTGTGCACCTGTAGTTCCAGCTACTCAGGAGGCTGAGGTGTGAGGATTGCTTGAGCCCAGGAATTCAAGGCTGCAGTAAGCTATAATCATACCATTGCACTCTAGCCTGAGTGACACAGAAAGATCCCGTCTCTTAAATAAATAAATAAGAGTGGTGTTTGAACTTCATATAAATATAATCATAAAGTGAGTGCCTACTCTTTTATGTCTGGCTTCTTTTTTTTGAGACAGAGTCTCACTCTGTTGCCCGGGCTAGAGTACTGTGGAGACAACCTAGGTCACAGCAACCTCACACTCCTGGGCTCAAGCGAAGACAGGAGTTCCGCCTCTTTGTTTCAGCGCCCCTAGAAGTGGGAGTTGCCATGGGCGTCAGCCTAGCCTTCCACAGCAAACCCAAACTCCCTGGGGCCTTTCCGGAGCGATTCCTCCGCCCTGGCCCTTCCAGCCTTCCTGAGTAAGCTTGGGACTACAGCATGACCGCCCACATGCCCGGCTTAATTTTTTTTCTAATACAAATTATTAAGTTTGGGCCAATTATGTCTTCTATTATTTTTACTTTTTTAGAGATAAAAGGGTTTTTCCTTTTGCTTATGTCCAAACCCAGGCCTGGAGGTTTGGCCAAGTGGGCTTAATTCACAGGCAATACATAGTTCAACTATAGCCCCTCAACCTCCTTAAGGGATCTCCCACCCCAGGCTTTTTCGACGTAGCCTTTGGGAACAACAAAGGTGTATGCCCACTGGTGGCCCCAGCTTCCGATGAATGGAAAATCAATAAAAGGCAATAAGAAAAACTAACATGCAACACGTTTAATGAATCTCACTTTCACAAACATGGTAGCAAAGAAGCCCGAAAAAATAGAACCCAGGTTGCAAGTTTTGGGCTCCATTGCCCCTGTAAATCCTAGCCACCTCCTGGGAAAAGGCCGGAGGCAGGAAAGGATCAACTCAAGGTCACCAAAGGAAAATTCAAAACCCAGCCTGAAGCAAGAAAGGCAAGAACCCTGTCCTCCTACTAAAAATGAAATAAATTTAAATTGGCCCAACCCTAAAAAAATATAATAGAAAAAATACCCAGGCAAATGGTGGGCCGCATGCCTTAGTCCAGCTTACTTGGGAAAGCTGAGGCAGAAGGAATTATGGCTTCGAAGCCCAGGGGGGAAGTTTAAGGGGTGCCTGTGGACCCTAAGGTTTGGGTCTCCAACAAGTATCTTAGCCGGCACCAGAGGTGGAGACCTCTGGTCCTCCCAAAAAGAAGGCCAGAAAAAACCATAAAGAAGTAGCAACTTT